AGTTCACTGCAGCCTTGAACTCCTGGGCTCAAGTGATCCTCTCACCTCAGCCTCCTGAGTAGCTGGGATATAGCTGCGTGCTCCCATGTGTGGCTAATGTTTTAAATTTTTGGTAGAGATGGGGTCTCACTTTGTTGCCCAGGCTGGTCTCGAATTGCTGTGCTCAAGTGATCTTGCTGCCTCAGCCTCCCAAAGTGTTGGGTACAGCCATGAGCCACCATGCCCAGCTGCAAATTTTGCGTTATAAATGATAATGTGTACCCAGTACTCTTAATTTACCTGATGAAGAATGGTGAGGGCATGCACCAATGTTTTGGGAGAGTGGCACTCACATCTCCATTATCTCCAGAAGTCCTTACTTCCTGGGACTTCCTCCAAACCACTTTAGATAAACACCATGTGGGCAACCTCTCCAACAGCCTTCTCCTTGTCTTGTCATTCCTCAACAGTGAATTCCTGGGCAGGAAACCTGATGTCACCCTGTCCCACGTATTACCTTCCTGATCTTCCATGCTGCGGTTTTCTAGGATGTTCTAATGTAACGTAGACCTGGACCTCCAAATGCAAGACCAGGCTGTGTCTTGCACAAGGGCTCCCAGCTGAGGAAGGAGCTCTGTCATTAAGCCATGCGCCCAGTGCAGGCTGTAGCCACCTGGAAGGGGCACCTTTCCCCAGTGTGTACAATTTCAGAGCAGCTCTTGCACCCAGCTCCCTCTTCCGTTCTGGCACCTCCTGCCACCTGTCTTCCCAGCGCATCGAAGCGGAATTCCTCCTAGATGCTCCTAGATAGTACTCCCTTCTCCTTGTGGTTTGGATCTTGCATCTTCCCCCCTAACCCCTCATTTGTTGGCTGTGACCCTGGAAAGATTTCATGTTTATTCTGGAAGAAGGATCAGTCAGCATGACTTCCTTCTAGATGAGCACTAAAGCTCTGCTGCTCTTTACTGAGTGACAATAAATGCCTGAGCAAAATGACTAAGGATGCATTTCTCTTCAGGCATCCGCGTCCATCAGTGGAATGACCTAGCGCTTTGACAGGGTTTACTTTCGGGTGAAAAACACTCACAAGTGCTCTCTTCTGCTGCTCCTCCTTCACAACCGAGTGCTCAAGTGTGACTCTGCAAAGCACATGAGAGTACCAAGTGAGCGGACCCTCCCATTCTTTGGCCACCAGCTGCTGCAGCTCTTTCTTCACCTAAAGCCCAGCCGGTCCGGCCATGGCCCAGAAGGCTCAACATATTATAAACATCCCCAGGCAGCTCGTGCCATGACATCGCTCACCTATCTTGGCTCCACTTGCTGGGGCATAAATCATTCACGCGTCCCATCTTCCCCGCGTCACCAGAGACTCCTCCTGTGCTCACTGCACCCCCGCCAAGTCCCTGCCCAGTCTCTGGGTGCATCATGCTGCTGCTGCCGCTGCCACCTCTTCCTGGCCAGCGTCTCCACCCTTGCGGTCACTTCATTCCAGAACTCTGGAACTCTGCAGCTGCTGCATATTAACCAAGCCTTTGTATTTTCTGTATTTCCTAATGTTTTCACATCTGGAGCCTTGCTGATTCTAGAGAGGCTGCTCCTCCCAGGGTTCGCTAATTCCTAGACAGAGTAAAAGATTCACCTGCAAGTGTACTTTTCACACACAAACCAATCCATCCAGAGCCAATACCCCAACCACTTCCTGTGTCGGGCTCTCACACGTGGGCCACCATCCGCCTGCCTCAGTCACCCCGGGGCCAGCTTCCAGACACTTAGGGGCGGCCCTATGCCCACGAGCTGCAGAAATGATCAAACTACCAAAACGCAACCTGCACAGCCTGCCCCACCTGCTCCTCCTGCAGAAACCACAATAAAGGCTCTTGCCCACGTTTTCACCTCCCTGTCTGCCTCCTGACCTACCCTGGTGCTTCCCAGGGGGCCCTGTGTGGCCCCACCTACCCCCTCCTCCTGGGAACTGAGAGTAACAAATGATCTTCCAATGGCAATTGTGTCCTGGCCTGCTGACCTCGCTATACCTGGATCATAATAAAACTCACATCTTAACACAGGCTCGGCCTCAGTCAAGTCTCCTGGTCACCTCATCTTGTCACCCTCCATAGGAGGACGGCAGGACAGGGCTTGGGCCTCCAACCCTCCTGAGCTTCCATGTTTCTTAAAGCTCTGGCCTCCCCATCTCAGGAAACGGACCCAGTTGCCATCACTGCCTCCTCTCTCACCTTTAAGAGTCACCTCAGATCCATCAGCAAGTCTCACCCGGGCCACTCTCAAAGCATGTCTCGAATCAGCCCTCTGCAGGTGACACCCAGCCTTCCCCAGTGCAGGCACCGGGATGTCACACAGGCCAGTGTGTGTGCTGCCTCAGTCCTGGCCCTCGCCCGCCTCCACGCCTTCTCCACCAAGCAGACAGATGGGTCCTCACAGAGCACAATCCGGGGCACAGGAATCCCCTGCTCAAGACCCTCCAGTGCGTCTTTATGTCTTTGTAGAATAAGCCCGTGCTCCTCAGACCCCATAGGGCCTGACCCCACCTGCCTTTCCAAGTCACCTTCTGTCCCCTCTTGTCCACCATGCTCCAACCACGCTGGACTTCCTCTCTCGGATCCGGGAGAAGCCGAGTGGAAGCCAGCTTCTGCCTTGGCTGTTTCCCTTTGCCTAGAACCCTTTTCCACCCAGAAGTTTGTTTGACTTCCTCTTTCCAAACATTCAGGCTTCAGCACGAACATCAGCCCCTCGGAGGGGTCTCTCCTGACCACCCTACTTGGTACGTAGCACTATTTAAAAGCATGTTCGTCACGTGTGTCTGGGTTCTTCAGGCTCCCGCCCGCCTCTGCCACGCAATGTGCTTTTCAGGCGATCAGAGGCTTGCTCTGGAGATGTATCTAGAATACCTGACACCGGCGACAGCATCGGCCTGAGGCAGTGTGGCTGCTTAACAAATACCAGCTCCCTTCACTGCCCTTTCGGATTCCTCTATTTTCCACAGTTCCTGAGATGTACACTCCCCAGTCTATAGGTTTGGGCCCTCTTAGCGGATTCCCCGTGGATCTGTGACCTTTGCCTGTGAGCTCTTCTTTAAAGAGAATTTTCTTCCTCTGAGTCCTGAATGCCTCTGTGGGAGGCTGTGTTTTGGACCCTGAGAGGTCCAATGCACTTCACTGGTTCTTACACTGGTATCTGAGCCTCAGGGAGCAGCTGGAACTTGGAACATACAGCCCTGGGTGGTGCAGACTTCAAGGCTCCAATTTCTTCGGGGTGAATCTTTTTCTGCTCACGGTCCAAGGCAGTCCGCCAGCTCTGGGCTGAGTCCCTGTGGCAGGCAAAGATCTCCCAGTCCTGTGGCCATTGACAGTTTTGACTCCTGGCTTGACTGAAGGAGCTCAGTTCGAACTGCATCAGAGGCCTGGGAGCTCAGCTCTAGCCCCCGCGCAGGTGTTGAAAGCCAGGCTCCTCACACTTCTCTCTGGTTCAGACGCCCCGGGAGCTGCCTCTGTGTCTGCTCCTGCTGGGACTCCCTCCTGGGTTTGACCCCTGGGAACTTCCCTTTCTTGCACTGGAGCTCAGCCTTGTACTTCTAAAAAATGCTGTATTTTATCCAGCATTTATGTGTGTGTGTGGCGGGGTCCGTGTCTGTTCAGTCTACCAACTCAACCAGAAGATCCCTTCTGGCCAGTCCCCATACGTTTGTCTTTACTACCCCTACCCCAAGAAGCTGCCCCTTGGGGATGGTGCCTCGTGCAGCTTGGTTTCTAGTCCTTGCTAATGTACGTGCTCCCCTGTACATTATCAGAGATACAGCACTCCAAAGCACCAAGCACGCTGCTGGGCACCCTGGTGCATGCAATAAATACTTGTTCATTAAAGGAAAGCAAGCAACCTTCAATATTTTGCTACTAACAGCTGGTCATGCTGGCTGGTGCTACAGCTCACCCCCTCTCCCCAGCGGGCCACTTCACATCCTGTCAAACAACAGAGCCCACTGCAGCAGATGGGAGGAAGATGATAAAAAAGGGTAGGCAATTATTGGCTTTAATAATTCTAGTGGAGCCTTTCAAGGCTGGTAAGCAAAGGCGGTTTACATTTCTTACCACCAATTTTTTAACCTGCTCCCATTACACCCAGACTTCTATATCTATTAAGAGGATGCAGTAATAATAATAGTAGTGACTAATATTTAATATTTATGAGTACTCATAGAGCAGACATGTACTACCTTAATAGTAATATAAATATGAAAATAATTATGATTATCATGGCAGTTAACATACATATGGCACTAAGTGACAGGCACCGTTCTAAATGTCTCATACGTTAATTCACTGATTCCTTCCAACCCCATTATTGACCATGATGACTCACAGCTGGTGAAACTGAGGCACAGAGAGATTAAGTGACTTGCTCAGGGTCACACAGCTATTAAGTAGCAGAGGTCCAGGCTCCGTGTCCAAGCCTCCCTTCAGACTGCCCCTCCATGCATATCTTTTCCGTGTGTTATTTCAGTCTTCAAAATAACCCCATGAAATAAGAACTATTATGACCCGCTTTTTACAGACATGAGAAAATGCGGGCTCAGAGAGGTGTGAAGCAGGCTGGAGGCAGCACAGCCAGTCGCTGGGCCAGCTCTACCCAGACTGCAGAGTTGGAGCTGTGAGCGGGAGGCAGAGCACGTCAGGACCACCATCCTCATGCACACACACGCACATACACGCACACGCATGCACACATGTTTACTTCTGTAAGTCCCCTGGATGTCTTTTCAAAAGCTATATAATTTGTTTTTAAAACTGTGTATTTCAAAGAATTTTTCTGAGGTTTTAGAGTATATTTAAATAAATGAATGTCTTACCTTGCCTAGCACTAAACCTCAGTATGTTTCTAAAATGAAAAAAAACAAAAACCCGGCCCTTCTCACATGGGTCAGCCTGCATACCTGCATAACTGCATACCTGCATAACTGCATAACTGCATAACTGTAACTGCATAACCACACAACTGCATAACTGCATACCTGTATACCTGTACACCTGCATAACCACACAACTGCATAACTGCATACCTGTATACCTGTATACCTGCATAACTGCATACCTGCATAACTGCATAACTGCGGCTGCTCTGGAAAGACCTCCTCTGCCACTTCTCCCTCGTCAGGTGTCCTCCTGCCTGCGACAGGTGGGAGCAGAGCCTGGGGTGAGGGAAACAACCCTGTCTGACCTCTGCTCTCAGGAGTATGAGTCGCCAAGAGGCTGTGCCCTGTTCTCCTAGTCTAGGAGAGAACACTGGTGCAGGCCAGCAGCAGAGGAAGTGGCAGAGAGAATCTGCAGGGGTGGGGACGCAGGATGGAAGCTGAGGGAAGACAGGGACCTGCTGGGTAGAGGGGGTGAGCTGTGGCACCAGCCCGTATGACCAGTTTTTGGTGGCAAAATATTGAGAGTTGCTTGTTTTCCTTTAACGAGCAAGTATTTATTGCGTGCACCAGGGTGCCCAGCAGCCTACGTGGGGCTTTGGAGTACTGTATCTCTAAAGAGCAAACAAGGAACAGGGGCCAGGCAGGGGAAGACAGCAACCAGGTGTGGCAAGAGTCGGCCGCTTCAGGTCCAGGCTCTGACATGAGCCAGTGGGGGTCAGGGGACCGCAGTTCTGTCCTCTATAGGATGGGCTGCTGAGATATGAGGGTGGAACCATTTACTATTGCAAAGTGCTTGCCATCTGTACTGGTACAGTGGGAAGCACAGAGAAGCATTTGTTAGACAAATCAGCACCCTCGAACTCCGAAACAGCTACGCCCAGCAAAGGCTGCCACAAGGGAGGGAGCAGAAAGGCTTCCTTAGGAGATAAAAGGAAAAAAGCTGCCCACTCCATCCTTCTCCAGAGAAACTACTGCTCACTCTCTGCTCCTTAAGGCCCTGCTGGGGCAGGGGGGCTGTCCCGGAACACGCTGTGCTGTGGGAGGGGTTTGAACATCCCACTCTGGGACAAGAGCTGGAGGTAGCCCCAGCAGAGGAGCTCAGTTCTGGCAGCGGGGGCTGCTGAATGGCGTCTCCGGCAGGTGGCCTTTTTCCATCTGCTATTGCCGGCCCCTGCTGCTGCCCAGGTCCTCATGACACAGTTGGCAAGAACCAGGCTCTTGGGAAACCACGCCCGCACCCTCGCGGGGCAGCTACTACCCACACCCGCACCCTCGCGGTGCATCTACTACCCACACCCGCACCCTCGCGGGGCAGCTACTATCCACACCCGCACCCTCGCGGTGCATCTACTACCCACACCCGCACCCTCGCGGGGCAGCTACTACCCGCACCCGCACCCTCGCGGAGACTCTACTACCCGCACCTGCACCCTCGCGGGGACTCTACTATCCGCACCCGCACCCTCGCGGGGACTCTACTACCCACACCCGCACCCTCGCGGTGCATCTACTACCCACACACACACCCTCGCGGTGCATCTACTACCCACACACGCACCCTCGCGGGGCAGCTACTACCCACACCCGCACCCTCGCCGGGCATCCACTACCCACACCCGCACCCTCGCGGGGCATCTACTACCCACACCTGCACCCTCGCGGGGCATCTACTACCCACACCCGCACCCTCGCCGGGCATCCACTACCCACACCCGCACCCTCGCGGTGCATCTACTACCCACACCCGCACCCTCGCGGTGCATCTACTACCCACACCCGCACCCTCGCGGTGACTCTACTATCCACACCCGCACCCTCGCGGTGCATCTACTATCCACACCCGCATCCTCGCGGGGCATCTACTACCAGGGCAGGGGCGGGGAGGCAGTACCACTAAGCCAAAAGATAGGTGCTTTCTTCCCTCCCAGGCACCTGAGCAAAGGAAGCTCAGCTCCCCTGAACCCTTAAAGCAAGGATAAGACTGACTGCATGGCCAGAAATTTGGTTTTCATTGTTGACTAAACAGTAGCAACATAGGGTCACATCCATAATCTACTTATAGGTAAGGTGAGAGTATCAGCATGGAGGGGGATGGGAAGGAAGTTTGGGAAAGGAAGAGAAACAGCATTTACAAAAGGGGAAAACAATCATTTTCAGGGTAAACATTGCTCTATCCATGGAGCAGTGGTCTTCAGTCTTGACTCAACATTAATTCCCTGGAGAGTTCTTTAAAAAACCCAGTTGCCCAGGTCAAACCCCCTTTACCAGTGTGTTTAGTGCCTTCCCCCCTGCCCCCTGCCTGGAAGCCAGCAACTCAAAAGACTTAAGGTTACCCATAGTTCAAAAAGGCATATTGGACTGATACTGAGCAGGGGTGGGCAAGCTATTTTTTTGTAAAGAACCAGATAGTAAATATTTTCAGCTTTATATGATACCATCCTGCTGCATCCACTCAACTCTGTGGATAGCCAGAAAGCCATAGGTAATACCTATGTAAACACACGAGCATGGCTGTGTTCCAATAAAACTTTATTTACAAAAACAGACAGTGGGCCCAATGTGACCCACAGGCTGAAGATTGCCCACCCCTCACCTAGAAGAGATAGGGAGGCTTTTCTAAATCACTCCTTTAATATCTCCAATTTCCCCCTCCTAACACAAGACCCCCACCTCCCTGCAAATCCATTTATAAAAATTCATGTCAGAATAACCCTGTGGGGTGGGTAGCAAGTAGTTGTAAAGCCAGACTGGCCAGTGGATTTGCAGATTTTTGGAGCTGGGAAGGGCACGGGGGATTCATTCCACTCTTCTGTCCACTTTTGTGTATATCTGAAACATTGTTTTCCAACAGACCTCCTACATGAATCACCAGAATCACCATAAGAGGAAAACCTTCTCAGACAGAACCACAAGCTGAAACTAGTGGGAAGTGTGGGGATCCTGTGTCCTGCCCGGGGCTGGGCCTTCAGGAAGCACGTGCAGATGCACCAGCCCAGTGCGCTGTGCAGAGGATACTCACGACCAGTAGAGCAGCATGAGCAGGAAGGGGCAGATGATGAGGGCCTGCAGCACCTGCCAGTCCCGGCACAGGGCGGCTAGCCCGGGCATGAGGAACTGGCCCGCCATGGCCACGAAGCTCGCCACCATCGTAATCATGAACCGTTTTCCAGGGGGGCACAGCTCTATTCCTAGAACACAGAACCAATGAGAGAGAGATGAGTTCCCCGCTCGACAGCCCAAGGAGTCCTGGGTGCACCTGGGCCAGTGCACTGCTCAACCCACCGACGACTGAAATTGTTTTCATCTGCTGCCCACCACAAGTGCCCTATGTGGTGTGCCAGTGTTTTATGGGCACATCGAGGCTCCAACTGGGAAGGGAATCGAGATGGTGGTTCAAGGCCACAGGGCTAGTCGACGACAAAGGGATGCTATAATTCAGAGGAGTTTAGCTCAGAAACCAGGAAACGGTGCTGCCTATGGGACAGATCACCCATTGTTCCCGCTTCCTCTGCTCTCCAGACGTCACTGAGCTTGCTGTCCAGCACGTTCCCCCCTCATGCCCATCCTGTTGCCATTCCTTCCTGTCCATGATGCCGTATCAGGGGCCATCTCGACCTCTAGACAGGATACCAGGCATGTCCATATACTCACTCCCACCCACAGGCACCACCCGCCCCTTCTGCTTCTCACTCCAGGGCTCCTTGAGCAGTCCGAGCTCCAGGCAACCTACTCACACTGTGAGACGGAGGGAGACTGAGTTGAGTCCCAGTTTGTCTATTAAACAAGACAAAAACCAACAATAAAGCTGACTCAGATCATACAGCAATGACCCTACCACAAAGCCCCTTCTCCATGTGGGAGTTCTGTGGGCCACTGCAACATGGTTGAGTCGCGCATCCTTTCTGTGTCCCTATTGGACAACTTCCCCTGGGCAAGGCCCATGTCTAATTCATCTTTGTAGCTCCAAAACCAAAAACAGTGTCTATTTTCTACAAATGCCCACTGAATAGAGGGGGACCACGGCCCCTCTTATTTGCAAGAATCTATTCTTTTACTTTGACCTTGAGTCAAAAAGATGATCAGAAAACTTTAATCTGTGGCACCCAAGTGACAACCAATACAGACCTCCTACATGAATCACCATAATGAAAGCCCTAGTAGAAAAAGCAGCTGAGTTTTATATATATATGTGTGTGTGTGTGTGTGTATATGTGTATATATATTTCCCTACAGAGCATGTATGTTTATTTGCTATTCTCCTGCTATACGCAGTATTCTCTAAAGGTTTCTTGCTTGCTTGCTCGCTCTTTTAAACATAAGGTAAAAAGAAGAGGAAGGAGGAAGAGGGGGAAGAAGAAGAAGAAGAAGGAGGAGGAAGAAGACAGACCCTTCAGAGAGACCACTTTCATGCCTGTGTGTTGGAGGCTGTTCGGACGGTGGGCTTCATGGATCAGCTGTGACGGCTCATCTGCTGGCTGTCTAGAGACCACAGCAGAGGTAGGACGTCAGAAGGCAATAAGGGAAGCAGACTAGAGAGAGAACAGATGAATTATGCTTGGCTACAAGGATATCACCAGCCCTAACAAGGAGAGGGTGCTATGCCCGCCAATTCCTACAGCAGCTCATCTGCTGGAAAAAAATACTAATGCCATCAGAATTTCCATTCCTGCTCAGCCACAAGCAAACAGATCATCATCATAGCTATCAGTGAACAAGAGAGAAACCAGATTTCACTGATGATTGCTTATAAAGAGGCTTCTACCATTTAATTAGGAAAACAAGATTAAATGGCTCATTCCTGGCCATTTGCTGCCATGCTGTTCCTTTTGGTACCATAGGTCAGGTTCACTTAAAAGATCACTACTTAGCAGGGTCCAGATCTGGCATTTCTGCTCTTACAAACAATAAAGAAAACAAGGTCTTTTAAGAAAAGACTAACAGTTGTAGGTCTTGTTTTCATTTATTAAGCACAAGCAGTAAATTGGCTGCTATGGAAACCAGAAATCTACATTAGCCATGGTAAATTCAGTGTTGGAAGCTCGGCATGGGCTAGTATCCGATAAAGAAATTCAGCACTTGGCCTTCCAGGTAGCCTTTAAACAAAGTCAAAGAGATAATGTGGAAATAGCATGATGGTGTCGTATCAATGGTTTACTGGTACAGCAGACATATATATATTGCTTGCTGTTTTTCTCTTCAATACCTCTCTTTAATTGAGTGACATGATACAATGAAAATATCTGCAACTACACTTCTTTTACCGGAGTCCCCCTTTGGGATGTCTAACCCCACATCCTAATCTACACTGATGTGATGTCACACAAGGGATCATGAGGCCACTTCCCAGACCAGGTTCTAGGTTTGCAGATGAGCAGGGAAAATGGTCCCTTGCTGGGCCAGTCTGGCTTCAGTCTCCCCTTGCTACAAGTGAATTGCTGTGGCTGGCATATCTCTTAGCGTGACTGTCAATAGGACAATTATTAAATGGTCATAGTTTTTCTTCCAAAGGTTCTCTCAATCTTCTCCTATACGTAAGTGGTCGGTGTGGCCCCTAACTCTTTGCTGCCTAAACTGTAGTGTGTGAACCTGCTGTGTTGGTATCGCATGTGAGCTTGTTAGAAATGCAGCCTCTTAGGCTCCACCCAGACCCAGAGAATCAGCATCTGCATCTTAACGAGCTCCCCAGACAACTCCTTGAGAAGCACTGGTTCACTGTATTTCTCCCGAACTGTACGCATGTGTTGCCTGGCAGACACATCTGGGGGAGCTGAAGAAGTGGAATAATTTTCTGACCTCTCCACTCCTTCTGTTTTTGCTAGGAATCCTAGCAGGGCCTTGACTTTATTTCCTCAGGTAGAAAAATGCAGGGCACTCCAGCAGACTTGGTATTTTAGCATTCCTGCCGAGGCGATGGGAAAACACAGTGGCTTGATGGAAGGACACAGGTGTGGCCATCTGCAGTTAACTACCTTTTTTGTCTTGCCTCTCCAGAAAATCTTTCCAAACTGCTTGAATCTAACTACATTCTGAAGGTGGCTATGAAGATGTTTTCGTAAAAGAAAGCAATGATTAAGAAATTGCAGGCACTTGAGGATTGCCATTAATCACAACTTTCTCTGGAAGGTGACAAATCAGTTTTTTTGGAAGTGGGAGAGGAAAGAACACATGAGGACATTTAAGCCTCGAGTCCCAGCATCCGTCAGGAGGGATGGGGACTGCAGGTAGATCGTTTTTGCTGGGCTCTGTAAGCAGCAGCATTGGGGGCAGCAGCTCCCACACTCTGAAGATGGTTCCGGCTCCCTGGCCAGGGCCACTGGCCTTGGGCTTGAAAGGCAGGGAATGATGTCCCCAATCCAACTGTCCCTGCAGGGCCTGGCTACTGTGGAGAGTAGATCACTCACGGACAGGCATCCACAGTGCCCGTGGAAGACCCTGGCTGGCAGCTGTGTCCCGGTACTTGCTAGAATCAATTTCTTTGCCAGTGGAGCCAAACCCAAATCCTTTGAGTGGATTTGCATTTATGGGCAGCAAGAGTCCCCCTGATTATGTAAAACATTTAAGGGCCACAAGAAAATGTCCTGGGTGATGCAGCAAAGATTCCAACATTGAACTATCTCAAGTGGCCAGCATGTAGCACTTCCACTGCTGTGGTTACAAGCCTGGACTCTGGAGCCAGAGTGCCCAAGTTCAAATCCTGCTCCTGGTACTTAGAAGCTGCGACCTTGGTTCAGTCAGTTAGGAGTTCTGTGCCTCAGTTTTGTTGTCTGCAAAATGGGGTGTTGTGAGCACTAAACAGCATATAGTGCTAGAACGTAAGTGCTATGTGTTATAATCTCATGCATTATTTTTCCAGATTTTGGAATACTTGCATATATATAATGAGATATCTTGGACAAGGGACTTGGACAAGGGACCCAAGTCTAAACACAAAATTCATTTATGTTTCATATAAATCTTATACTCATAGCCTGAAGGTAATTTTATAAGAGATTTTAAAAAATTTTGTGCATGAAACAATATTTTGACTGTGACCCCTCACATAAGGTCGTGTGTGAAATTTTCTACTTGTGATGTAATTTAGGTGCTCAAAAAATTTCAGAGTTTAGAGCATTTCAGATTTCAGATGTTCTGATTAGGAATACCCAACCTGCATAACAATATAATTATTGCCAAGTTGCTCTTTGCTCTCATTCGACATGGTGAGATCCTGTCTCTAAGAAACAACCAACCAAACATACCATCGTTACTTTTCCCCTAACACCTTAATGAAGAATGCCTACAAGCTACTCTTGGCAACTAGATACACTTTGTCGATGAGCAGAGAAATTACTGAAGGTTGTGAGGATGAAACGGTACGTAGCTGAGACTGAACTGAGGCATTTGGTCAGTGAATCAACACGGACCACGACCAAGTCTGAGCACAGAGGCTGCCCCGAGGCTCTGATAGAAACGTGACATTGTTAGGAGGCCACAGCTCTGGGAGATTTGCTTTTCAGAAGTTGTGAGATTCTTACACATTTTCAGGAGGAAAAGAACATTGTACTTCCCAGGGTAGTCACTTCATGTGAAGGAGGAGGAAGGCCTGAGGGAGTGGGGTGTGGGGGTTTGACGTGTCATGTGGTGGCGGCTGCAGTCGCAGGCATTTGCTCAAACACGAACCCCGGTGCTGCAGGGAGAGGGCTGACTTTGAGGGAGGGGCTTCTAGATAATTTGGGTGGGTCTCATCTCATCTGTTGAAAGCCCTGAACACAGAGCCGAGGCTTCCTTGAGGAGGAAGAAGATTCCACCAGTGGACAGCAGTGCCCGCCCCCGTGCCCTCGAGTCCTGATGGCTGGCCCTCCCGCTGGCCCCTCGTGGATGTCAGCCTAGCCACCCCTCACAGTCGTGTGGGTCAATTCCTTCCAGAAAATCTCGAAATAGATATCTCCTGCTGTTTCCTTCTCTCTGGTTGAACTCTGAGACAGAGGTCAGGGGGTCCTGCACATCACACAGGGTCACACGGGGCCTCCTGCAAAGCCCATCCCCGAAGCTGCACCCCCCTCCCCTCCCCTTCTTACTCCCCACTCTCTCATCCTGTCCCTGCTTCTCTTCCCCGGCCAGCCTGGACCAGGTCCCAGCCTCACAGGGACCGTCTGTCAAAACACCAAGCTCAAGGGACCGTCTGTCAAAACACTGCAGCACCCAGGCA